ACAAAGGTAATGTGTAGTGAAACGAGGGCGACCAAGTAAAAAAAAATAAAGGAAAAAGTACTCACTCTCCAGTTGACGAGAAGGGCTAAGTACGTCTCTGCCCGAAATCATACCGCTCCGACAGAAAATGAAATCAGCTGATGCGCTACCGAGCAGACGCAGGCAAACAAGGAAGGCAAAATGTTGCGTAAAAAGTCTAGGTCTAGGTTCACCATGCCAGCCCAAACATTCACCGAAAATGTTTGTTGAAAATGTGCCCGACGGACAGGGTGCGGATTTTCTACTGACGAAACATGAGTGTTGCGAAAGTTATTCACCCCATTACGCGTGAACGTAGATTTGTCTGTCACCAATATGCACTTCAAAAAGTCCGGATTATTGTCATGTTGATGCAACAACCACTCACAAAACCGCACTCTTGCTGGAAAATCGTCAGGTTGAAGGGCTTGTACACGTTGGACGTGAAACGGATACAGCCCCTCTTCACGCAGCGTTTGCCACACTTTTGTTTTTGATACTTGCACTTCTCTAGCCACGTCTCTAGTGCTTGTTGAGGGATTCTCGACTACACGATTACCTCTAGACGCGTGACCGTAACCGTCAGTTGAAGGTTGCATACTGACCTGACACACTGACCCCGACCCAGTTCTGTCGTCGGGTTGAGCCAGTGGCCTTGTACCAGTCGGTGATGTCGCGGCTACAGGACGGTATTCAGATATTTTTGATGTTGCAGAGCCCTTTATCTCGGTTCCCTTAAGACATTGGTGTATATGGTACTAAGAAAAATTGCTTATGTTTTCAGGATCTACACGTCGTGTAAAGGAAAACCCCAGCTTTGCGGACACCCTGTATATTGTGCGTTCCATCACTATATTGCATCCAAAAGAAACGTCAAATGCTTTACAAACATGAACTCTAAAATGTCCCCTTTTACATATACAGGGTGCGCTGAATTTCTACATCAGTGATATCACTGACAGAGGATGGAATATGGATATTTTTATACACTGCACAAATGCAAAGCGGGTCAGAAAACTCGGAAAGCGATCATAAATCTAGACATGGGCTAAATCGCTAAATGGATTTATATTGCGAAGCTTTTGATGGAAAAATAAGTAAAAAAATTAAGTCTGCTAGAGGTGACTTCTAGGGGGCATTGAGTAGACTTTTTGGTCATTTTTCAATATGAAATATGTTTATCGAAATAAGTCAGCGCAAAGCACCATTTATCACCAGAATCGACCACTGCGGGAGCGCATAGCTGTTAAAGATCTCAGTTCACGTTTAAAATCCCAGTCACCGCGTGACCGCTCATGGCTGACGATTCTGGCTGTAAAATGGATGTGGTCTACGTGCCATTGAATATATGGCTGGCTGTCTTTTGGTCGGACGGACGAAATAATCATATTTATTAAATATATTTATATCAAAAAATATAACATATATTGGCACAAATAATAATTATGTCAAAATATCAAATATCACGAAAAGCAGGATAATTATACCTACTATTGAAACTAAAAGGTCTATATCGCTGAAATCTCCGTCATCTTCGTCGCCAGATGAAGTAGGTTCCAGTTTCACCTAACTGTAGCGTTCTTGGAGATTTTTTTAAAAACTCAAATGAAACTATATACCATCCTACAGAAATTGCACCGAATACAACTGAAACTGGCAATGTGAGTATTATTCTTAGCGCTATTGCTGTGCTTGGAAGTGTTGAAATTAGTCATTACTAAAAAGGTGTTGTAGCAAATTATGAGAATCAATAGACTGATTTTCTGGAAAATGCAATTTTAAAGCTCTAAGCTCATTAAATAAATCGATACCGTCAATGTCAGTTTTGCCAGTAGATTCGTCTGTAAGCTTTATATTTAAATTATTACAATGTATCACTAAGTCGTCATTGCAGTAATCAATTAAGTTATTATTATATCACTGAGTCCATATTGAAATTGGAACGGTCTTCTTCTAGGAAAAATCGTGTTTTTTGGTGGGAAATTTCTTTCTACGTTGAGAAGCTGAGCTAGATTAAAAGCTTCTTGAAATATTTTCTCACACTACTCATCCGTACGATATTCGGTGAACATAATAATCAACTTTTTCAAACTTGCACATATTTATATATATATTCATTTTGCTTAAGGCATTAATGTCGTGTAAAATTATCAAACCAAATTGTTGTTGAGCAAATAAATCTATAATTTTGAATGCTCAACGCAAGCGAATGAGCTTTGTGAAATGTACAATCTCATTATGACTAATTATTATCAGATAACTCCAGCAAAGGATCAAATATTTTTTCCAGATGGTTCCGCTTTATGGATTCTGCTAGACCCTGGCACTTAAAGCTTTTGATTTTAAACCTGGGAAATGTTTGCATATTATCGACCACCTCTTATAGATGATGAGAATAAGACGTAAATTTCTTGTATTATATTAAAGAAATCCGCAGTTTCGTGCGAAATATTGTTTAGTTTTATATAACCCATTCGCGGCCAAACTTTATTATTTTTTTTGTTAAGAAATTTTAGCTTTAGCCTAGGCAGCTTGTATGTGGAAAAATAGTAAAAAAAATCTTTTTGAACATTTACAATCGTCACAGGCGAAAAAAAAATGTTCCAAATTTGGAACTTGGCGTCATAAGAGTCTTGTTGGCTAATTATTAAAAAATAAACTAAAGTATCCATATAACATTTATTTTTATTTTATACACTACGAAGATGCACTTTGATGAAATATTTTAAAACAATCGAGTGGATGTACATTAATCATACATATACCACAACCAAATGTAGTATTTTTTTTGCAAACTTTGCATCTGTTTTGTTTCATGGAGTTTGGGTAGTGCAAAACAGACATATTCTTGGAGACTGCCTCAGGAACCTTTAGAAATATAGCTCCGTCTTGTCTTTGTGCTCTGGGACTCGGAAGTAAATATGTTGATACAATGTATCTGATAAAGCCAAGTAAATCAAGAGAACGAGAACTGTCCATGAATTCATCAGCACTAGATTTCTTTTTTTTCTCATCTTTTGAGATTCTGTATAAGATCCACGCATTAGAGACCGAAGCGCATAAAAGATGTATAAAAACTTGCCACCACCATTTATTATTACGCAGTTGCGGGCGATAATTAGAAATATTTCTATCCATTAAATCTGTACCTCCCATATTAGTATTGTACTGCTGAATAGCATGAGGCATCTCTACCATAATATATTTTTTGTCAGCAGCAGAATAACGGCGTGCTGCTTTTGTGGGCTGCAAGCCAAAGCAGTTTGAAGCAACATGGACTATGGAGTTATCTTTCCATTGCATAACAATAACTTCTTTAGTTGAATTAACGTATGAGTCCATAGAACCCCTATGCGATTTCTTCATTGCAGATTTATTTAGAGGACATTTTTCTAGTCTGTTTTGCCGGATTGTACCTGTGCATCCAAAATCCATTTCACTTAATCTTTTTATCAGTGGAAGACCCGTGAAAAAGTTATCTATAAAGAAGTTAAATTTTTGATCTGGAAATTGCTGTTTCAATTTTTCTGCAAAGGTGTAAACAACAGATGCTCCTAGGCCAAGGTCGCTATCTCCTAATATTGTTCCTTTGCCTTGATATGGTTCAGTGTTCACAAGATAAGCGTTTGATACATTTGCAGACCAAAATTTGAACCCATATCTAATAGGCTTTCCTTGAATTCTTTGCTTGCAACTGTGGTGACTATAGTATGGTACCATTGATTCGTCAACAGATATTGATGTGGTTTGAGTAAGAGGGGTATGCTGTAGAAAAACAGTGTTTAGGTGGTTGATCAGTGGCCTTACTTTCCCAAATTTGTCATTGGCTGGCAGCTGAGTGTTATTTACAAAGTGCAAATTTCTCAAAATATCTCGGAATTTATTTCTTGACATCCCCTTAGCAACCGCTTCATTGCGAAGATCAGAGTCAGTACTCCAATACATATCTTTCCTGGGCCTTTTAGAGTAACCAGAAATTAGCAAAATTGAGAAAAAAACCTTTAGTTCTTCCACGGTCACAGTAAAAGATGTGTTTGCATTTTTCTGGGTAGCATACAATATAGTTTGTTCTTTTATGTTTTCAAAAAAAGCATCAGTCCAAAATAATTCGAAAAATTGAATAGGATTTTCTTTTGAAACCAGGTTATTATATGTGTCAGATTCTATTACATTATTCAGATTCACAGAGTTTGGTAAGTCTTGCTGATACCAGTTTTCCAATTTTGACTTTGACTTGAATTTTTTGCTTTTGGGTACGTATTTTACTAAAGGCTCATCGTCATCACTGCTGGATTCTTGATGCTGCTTACTGCCATGTGATACAAGAGTAGCTTCAGCTGGTGCACCTAATATTTTTTGAGAAAATTTCTCACAAAAATCCCCTTCATTTTCATTTCCTGAGGCTTCAGAGTCGCCCTCAGAATCCTCCATTGGTGGACTTTATATATGTTAGCTGATTCAAAGTGCTCTTCATGCAGTTTGTCAATGAGTCGGTTCAAACTGGTTGAACAGGTGGATTTTTTTCCGTAAAAGGTTTTGCAATCCATAACCTAAAATAAATACAAAAGTGCAATAGAAGTAGCCATGTTCCATTATTGGAACATAACAAAATGTGACGATAGAAGGTGCAAATGAGAAAAGATACTTATTTTACTCAAACTTACCAATAAAACAATAGCCAGTCCTTGCTTCTGTTTATAGAGAACTTCAATTTTTCAGCAGTTTGTATTGTTTACGCGCCAGTAATAACACAAAAAAATTGATTTAAAAATAAAATAACCTAGCTGCACTGGTATGTTTACTGCCGTAATATAACCTAAAAAGTTTACTGAAAACAGGTGCTCCCGATGCTGTGAATTGCTAACAATGGTTTTGATTAATACTTGTGCCTCCATCTATTCAACTACATCCGAAATATCGCGTGTTCCAATTTTGGAACAATGCTGCGAATGGGATAATGTAATTTGTTTTCCACTTAACGCCTGGTATGAGAAATTTGAGAATCCCCACATGCACCCGTGCCTCAAGTAATCCAATTTATGCAAACGAGGATTACGATTGCAAAGCTTACAAACGCGTGCGTTTTATTTTCGAAAGTGACCAATGGATGATGTTATAGTGACATGATAAAAATATATAAGGTATAAGAGTTTTGAAAATGTTTCGTTTTCGGTTTGATATCTGATATCAACGGGCCTGGTCCCAAAGCCTCTTTTCCATACATGACGTTAGAAAGTTGTTTTCTTGTTGCCAGTTTCAATCTGAAAAAAATATCACTATATAATTAAATAGAAAATAATTTGCAAGACAAAACTAAAATAAAGGGCAGAACCGACATGACATAACTAAAAGACTCACACTCATGTTCTGTCAAATCGAAAAATATCTCAATAAGAAATCAGTAAATCTTACAACTGAAATAATGAAATAAAATGTGCAGCAATGATTACCGAATACATATTCATGAACATGACTTAAGTAAGCGAAATCAAAACATCTGAAGGCGGCTATAATATACTGGAATGTTATACGAAAAATTTAAGCCATATTATGAAATTTTTTTGATAGCAGGATCCAGGGTATAAATCTTTCTGGCTCTATACAAACTTAAATGAAAAAATAAAAATGCCAGTGAAATAAACTACATACTAGATGCAAGCACCTTATGTCACATACACTCCAAATGCAAGTTCATAGTTCAACTAACGAAAGCTTGAGAGTCTGTACCAATATAATAAAGCCTGTATTTTGCATCAGGTAGATATACCTAATGAACTTTAAAGCACTCGAAATTCCAGGACTACAGCCATTGTTAATTTCTTTACGTACCTGCAAATTCTGATGATGATGATGATACTCATACTTTTATAAATATCGATTTATGGCCGCTATTCTGATTATCTGGCCCACGGTGCACTGGTAAGGTGGCACTACTTACCAGTACGAGTTACAGAATTTGAAAAATCACGGATCTCAGCAGATCTTAGAAATGGAACATTTAACTACCCTTTTAATATTTTATCAAATAGTAGATATATCGGGAGAAGACACTTCGGTTAAATAATCGGGAACTGGTATGATATAAGCCGACTGAGCTGAGTTTGCTGTTTAGCATCAAAGTACGTAAGAAATCTATAAGAAGTGTTGCCAAACTGAGATTACATGTTTAAAAGGCGCTACATTTATACTGAGCTGAATGGCGTTCCGTTCTTTCCACGATTTTTGACGGTTACGTCAAAAAGTCGTTCAAAATAACTAAAAATATGGTCTTAAAGCCCGGATATCTAGATAACTGGCAACGTTGTGAAATACACCGACGATTGGTCAAATAAGCAATCTGGAGTTAGAAAAAAATGAATTTCAAGTCGACGTTCCTCTTTTGTTACTAATATTCCGCGTAAGGTCCTAAAATGGAACTAGCTGTGTGATAACTTACAGGTTTTCAGAATAACCTCTGTTTACATGACGCGAAAAGTGTGATTCACATCTTTATTAAATGAAAAATATACTTCGTAGGCTGCAAACGGATGATAAATTTCCCACCATGATCAAACAAAACTAAATTTGAATGACAAATACTGTCACGACAAGTGTTGGGCCATGAATTCACCCAAACAGGATTATCTATCTGACAACACTGCATTTATCTCAGACCAAATAACAACTGTTTAGACGCCATCACCTGCTTTGTGGACGCCACGATTTGGGTTACATCTCTTATTTCTCATTCTCTATTCATTAGCTTTATCCGTCTTTCCTTGGCATAACTACGTCTTGATTTTACCTGAAATGTTTGACTCGAATTATGAGTAAAGAAGACTAAATTCACAAATTTAAGTCCATCGAGATATTACGAGATAGAAGTCCATATGAATTCAGTGAGTTGCATTTACTCTGTACGGATACAATTTTTTTTTATGAATCGTGGTAAAAATGAAGACATTCCACTATATGATTCGTCTACCGAAAACTACGTGAATAATTCAAGCCCAGAGGCGTATTCAGGGTTAAGACATTATGCTGAATGTCCTCCACACTGCTGTCATATCTCTCACATCCCACCATTGTATTTATCTAGCCATTTGATAAAACATAGTACTTTCAACAATGAAGTACCAGTACAAGGATTTGAGCCTAATATCCAGTCGTACTCAAAAAATCAGTTTTCTGAAAAATAGAAACATATGGTTGCAATCGTTCGAGCTATTCCGTTATGCAACTTATTATCATTTTAGATAACGATGCACATTATTGTCACATGAGCGTCATATATCCTTATCTATAAATAATAGTAGAGATATAGAAGCACAGCTTAGGACTACACATTACACGTGGTGTGTGAATTGCAAGTTTGGGATGATAACATTATTATTTATATCTACTTATGTTGACCTTCGAGTTGCTGGAATATAATTTATTTGTTCAAATAAAAATGTAATTATATCCTCAATTACGAGTATTGTGAAACAACTATAATAGGGTCCGGCCGAAAGACAATTTTTTGGCCGAAGCTGAAGCAGAATTACTAGTTTATCAAAAATCTATATAATTAACGTTTGGCTCTGTTTCTTATAATTTGTAACCTCGATTTTAATGCATTAGTAGTTTTCTGCTCTGTGGTTTTAACCAACCAATAATAAAGTAACCAAAGTTCCTAAGCATGGAAGTCTATTTACTAATACTATCAATGATACAAAGATACGTGATCGGAAGTTTATAGCATTACTGAAAAACTATGATTCAAGTTAGTAATTCAAGCCTACGGAGTCACGGGTAATGGTTAATGCAAAATAACTCGTCTGTATCGCTTGATGGTCACAGGTTGGGTGTGGCGAAAGCAGGCAGTGCTGTTGCCAGCTTGACGCTGTCGGTGGAGATGTTTGTACTTGCTGCGACAGTTGATTACAAAATCGACGACGAGTTCGCGATAAAACCATACCTATAACCTTCTGCGGGTATCAATTATTAGTAAGTGTACAAATTTTTACGCCTCTCCGTATTGTAGTTTATATTTATGCTGACAGATTGGATGGATATTCCACGTTTATACAGGGTGTAAACGTTATGGTGGTCATTATTGAAATGGGTAATAGGGGGAGTCAAAACAAGTCAAAAAGTTCATATGACCCATGGTCCAAAAGATTTTTGTCTAAATGGCTTTATAGTTTAGAACTTTAAGTGCTTTATATCGACCACAATCACCACAATCTTACTAATTTTTATAATCTAATCTAAAACGTTTTTAAACTGGATAATTAACAAATGAATGGCGTTAAGTTTTTCTAAATTAAGCCAACATTTGTAGTCAGTAGGTGAGAAAGTTTCATTAAATTAAATATTTAAAACACACACGACAACAGCGCGTCGATCTTTCATCACTCTTATCGAACCGGCAATCGATCGCAAACGGTAACAATGGTTAGTTATCGTTTAGCGTCGGGCGTGTGTTTTTGTTCGCGTACATCGTCGTGTTTATTTACAATGTTCTCGAATCAAGAGTTTGCCGACATGTTGTTAGTTTAGGGTGAAGCTCGTCAGAATTCAAATCTTGCAGCTCAAATTTATCGCGACAGATTTCGCCAACGGGAACACCCAGACAGAAGGACATTTGTGCAAGTGTACCAAAGACTTTGAGATACAGAAGTGTTCAGCCCACTAATATTCGCACTCGTGAAAGACAGGTTACTGTAGAGCAGGAGGAACAAATTTTAAATATCGTGGAAATCAATGCAGATATCAGCACTCGGGAATTAGGGCGCCATAGAATCCTACGGGAAAATTTGCTTTATCCCTACCATGTACAACGAGTGCCTTGTTACCAGAAGACTATCCTCGCAGACTAACATTCTGTCAGTGGTTTTTGCACAAAAACATTGAAAATCCGGATTTTTTTAAAAACATTCTAGCGACGGATGAATGTACGAGTACTTTTACGCGAGACGGGATGTTAAATTTCCATAATACTCACACGTGGGCCCAAGAAAATCCTCATACCATTCGTGAAGGTCGTAGAAGCATCGCTTAGAAAAAAATCCAATTTAGGGCCAATTTCACCAATATTAATATTATGGACCAATGGGAAAATACCTTATCGAAATGCAATTTGACGAGAGCTGTCAAAGGTCTCTGAATATAAGTGATTTCTGTTGAAATATTGAACAAAATCGTGAAAATTCGACTGTATTATAAACAAGACCACACAAGATTCCAACATGATGCTTTTGTACAGAAAAAACAGGACAACTTTTATGTATTTTGCATTATGTTATAGGTTTACATTTAACAATCCGTTATCCCCCTCAGCGAATGGGAATGCGGCAAATAATAGGTCGATTTTCTAGCTGTTAAATTTGGCAGCAGATTTGGTCGTTTGTTAATGCATGGCACTCTCAAATTTACCAGCTTCAATATACTGAAAGTTATCATTACATACCTGTTGAATAGTGTGGATTTGTTTGTATTTTGCAAGAAAATAGAATATAAAATATATTCCATCCAATTCCTCATCTTCCTTTACGTTATAACAGTAATATCATTTATTAATTTATGGGATAATGAATTTCTTCAAAGCAATAAAAACATTATGTCCTCTCCATCCTAAAACACAGATAATATGTGTAAGACGTGTCAATCCCTATATCTCCCTGATGCATAATGCAATTACTATGCACATAGACAAAAAATTATGAAAAATGTTTCACAAATAATGTCCTTTTAAGTCCAAAAATCATCAAAACTAGTAATGTTTATTGTTTGTGTTTTTGACTGGCGGTCGTTGACTGGCGGGGATATCTGTCTGTCACTCGAGGGTTGCCAAGTATAAGGACGATCACGTCCCGTGGTGGAGGGTGCGAAATGAATCTTTTACATTTGCTGGTTTTGCATTTTTTCGTGAAAATTTACTAGGTATCATGATTATAAGCATCTTTGGTAGATTGTTCGATCTGGAATGGGAAAGATCTCCTATTTATGAAAATATTTTTGGTATCATCTAACCGTTGCAATCAGTGCACAAACACTGTGACATATGATTTATAGCATAACCCGCTGCCCTAAATACAAATTTAACATACAGGTCGCCTAGCCGTGGGGATGCAGTGGTCGGGATGAATATCACGGCAGCAACTGATGATTTGGGCATGTCTGGTAAGAACGTATGAGGTGAAACTCGCTAACTTCACAAATTTGAAGATTTTGTACAATTTCATTGAAAATGATGAAAGATATGTCTGATTTGGCAGGGTACTGTCGCAGCCAAATGGCAGTCACTCTTTCTGACACAGTCCGGATCGAAAGATGACGATACTCGTGAAATGTATTGATACTTCTAAATATAGGATCCTATCGAACATCCCTACTGTCAAGATGTATAACCCAAGGTACCGACGGAGCTATTTTGCGGCGTCGAATGATTTTAAATTTTCATTTGCATTTTTTCAAGTGTTGTGCAATGATTTTGGGAAAAATGTCACGAATCGTCTTATAAAACATAGTAGAGTATATTTGGCGGAACTTGCTCTACTGGGACCAGGAGCGTGAAACGGGATATTAATGCACAACCTGGCAACCCTGTCGCAACCTCACAAAATGGCCGCTGATAACCACACAAGTCACGTGTCGTCATTGAATAGCCAGGAATTACACCTTCAGACTATAATATGTTTTGTGACTGGTACCAAAAGTTGACAGATGCCACACATGTGTCACTCCTTGAAATGCAATAATCAGCTGTATTCAAATAATGTCTAATATAAATATAACCTAGAATGTGTACTCGTGAAAAAAGAAAAATATGGCAAATTTGTAGTTTTTTTGCAGGTTTTAGGTCTGATGGTAGCTTTAAGGCGTATATTTGGGAATTTATTAATCGCTGTGAATATAGTGTGGATGTTTGTTCAGTTCCTGAACAACGAAAAATATTCAACGTTATGGATGTATGGATATCAAAAAACCTGAATGGTTTTGTGGTAATATCAATCTAAGGTGCCATAATGGTTCTGATGAACGGCAAGTAAATGAATGAATGTTTGGAAATGAGCAATATCTTTTGGTAGAGCCTGTCATCAAGTAGGTGCTTAATGGCTATCTGCAAGAGGTTAATAGCAAAAAACACCCAGTATCACATATCAATTATTGAAGAAAATACTACAAACATGGATTTAATTCAAAAATCAAACATTTCTTAAAATTTTGACTGAATTATATGTAATTTCTTAATATTCAATAAGCTCTGTCATTTCATACTTTGACAGTATCTTGTTTTCAACATTTCACAGCTATTGGTTGCTAAAATTTGTTGATTGGAACTTGAAGCTCATTCTCTGTATCTGACGGTCTGTTACCACCCTATAGGTGGAGAATAACGGACTGTTGTTGGTGGAATTGGGCCTTAGAGCATTTTCGGAGCTGAATCGAAAATTCCTGAAATTATAATTTGTTTCTAACTATATACGGTTCGGGTAATGGTAACAATGCAATCTGTACTAAATGTCCGAAATTTACAATAAAAAGCAACTTCGTTTGGAAAGGAGATTCAAAAACAGCTTCACATTTGAAACATCTGGTTCCTTGAAATAATTTCAAAAATATACGTTGCAATAAAGTTAATTTCCAAAACAAAGCGACCATTTGAATCATTTAGTTCAATAGACGAATTTAATTTCCACGATAATTATGAGGCGAGTTTTTAACGAAACCTTGAGTCGTTCATTTCGGTTGGTCGGAGTGAAGATCACGGATGATTTGATCTAGCACGAACACATCTCGTCAATAGCGGCAGCTGCTGGAAAAAGCTGGGCTATTGGTTTATGGTTAAGAAGTACTTTTCTTCACATGGCCTCTTCACTCTGTACAAGACCCAGATAAGGCCTAGCCTCGAGTACTGCTCACTTGTTTCAAGTGCTGCCGCCTCGACTCCATGCTCGATGCTGATCAGAGGGATGCCCGACTGATCGATGGCTCTTCTCTAACGGACAGTCTGAATACCCTTTTGCGCCGACTGGCCATCTGCAATCTAACTCTCTTTTACGGCTTTGTCAACGCACTCCTCAGAGCTCTCCTCCATGATACCGCCCGTGATGTACCTGCCAGACAGACATGCCTCTCTTCAGCGTTCCATCCTAACCGTGTCGAACTTCATATCCAGAACTTTCCCTTACGACTGCTCCTTTGTCCCCTAAGATTGTGGAACTATCTACCTGAGGAGGCTTTTTCCTGTTATACTAATTTCAGGCAGGTCGGAGATCGGATTAATAAAATTTGTTTAAGCTCCTCATAGTAACCTGCGCGACTGCTTCCGTATAAAAAAATTTCTTTGCAGCGTTCAGCGTACGCCAGTATTAAGCGCCTTCCTCAGCTGTTCAAAAAAGTACGAATCATATATACCGAATCCTTGAATAACAGTTTAATTACTATACAAATTATTTATCAGTAGCAATTCGCATTCGCTCTAGACGAGGTAACGCTTGACCAAGACTATGAAACGGCAAGGTCACCATTACATAATTATGGGATCGCAGGTATAGAAACAGCTGTATATTTGTATGCGTATACATTACAACATTTGTCGCTTTCCTGATAAGATCATTAAGGCTGATCGTCCATTGGAAGCGTAGTCGCGCGACTCGAAGGTAGCGCGTAGACGCCCGTGTATGAGCGATCATGAGACTGAGCGACTGGCATCATTCACTGCAGGCGACTCTATACGACTTAGTTCGCAACTGTCATCATCGAAAGAAAGTGTGCTCTGTAAAATCATGTGAAATGGATTTGCAAAACATCTACTTTTTGGTGCAACCTTACATAATAAGGCGTTTGAGAGCTCGTCGTGATAAGAAGAGACGTTTGTGTTGGATAAATGAAATACTTAGTAGAAGAAATCTACTGGGAGAATTCCATCACCTACATGACGATTTACTGAATGATCCGCAGAAATTCTTTGATTATTACCGGATGAGTCTAGACACATTTCAGTACATTTTGAGTGCTATAGAGTCATCGATCGCCAAAGATTCAAATTTCAGGGAGACAATAAGACCTGTGGAACGTTTAAGTGTGACTTTAAGGTAAGTAAATTTATTCAATTGTTATAAATCTATATTAAGTCTAATTGAACAAAAAAAGTAATAAAACCATCTATCATAAAAAGGAAATAAAAAAAGTACTCAATAGTCGGACAACATGCATTCGTGTTGTAATTCTTATTGCGCCTGATCGGTATTAGCCTTCTTATTATAACACAGTTACTTTATATCTTCTAAGTTCCCGAAATATTCTCGCAAACCTGTATTAATCTGGTCTGCAGATGAGTTCGACGTTTCAATCGTCCATGAGGGTCCACCGGTTTCGCTGGTGCAAGGCGAGGGTACCGGTGTTGTTGTGTAGGTCGATGGGGTATGCGGGGATCTGTGGTATTGCTCTCCTTCATCAATAAGAACTTGCTGAAGTTTATTTCTTGCATGCAATTTGCGGTGTTCTGGAACTTTTTTTAGATATGGAAGAAGACTAATCAAAAACTGATAGTCGCTGTCTCCTTCTTTGTTAGCATGTTCAGTAAATAACTGCAACTTAGCCCTCTCGATTTCTAGAAATTTATCGTCAACCGTGATGTCTGCTGGTGTATTTTTTTTAAGTTTAAGATTGCTAGTTCTAGGTGTTATTGGAGGACCAGCAGGACGAACGTCAGCATTACCTGGTTGTGTATCATGCTGTTTTCTACGCGTCTGATGATTGCTTGCAGGTACTGGGGGTTCCATCTTACTGGTTTCGCTCGATGACATATTGAGTTCTCCTTTGTCAGTGACAACTGCTTGTGGTGATTCCATATCAGGCAAATCATCTTCATCGGCAATATCGTCTCCGTCATTATTTCGAGAAAATGTTCTTTCGGGCGAGGCAACATTTTCCTTCAGCTGTCGTGGCTCAATTATGTCGGAGAGAAACAGCATCTGGTCGAAGAAAGTCCATGAAGAGGAACCTTCCTCCGCCGCCTCATCTCCTGATTTATGGAATTTTTTATATTCTCTTCTAAATACATCGCGCAGTCCTTTCCACTTTTTCTTTACTTCGTTCACTAAAACACAAAACCACAGTTTTGGTTAATATTGCAAATAGGAACATAAACATTTTTTTTTCAATAAATGTTCATAATGATTTCTGTTGTTACAGGTACTTGGCCACAGGTGCTTCATTCAAAACATTGGGGTATTCATTTAGAATGTCAGATGTAACCGTTGGAAGAATAGTTAAAGAAACGTGTATTGCTATTTGGGACCAGTTGAGCACTCTACATATGCCATTTCCTCCTACAGATGAACAGCAGGAGTCAATAAAAGAAGGTTTTTGGCGTAAATGGAAATTTCCTAGTTATGTTGGGTGTATCGATGGAAAACATATACGCATACGAAATCCAGACCATTCAGGCAGCATGTTCAGAAATTACAAGCATTTCTTTTCAACTGTGCTACAAGGTGTGGCGGGACCAGATTACAAGTTTATTACCATTGATACAGGAGGGTACGGCAAGGAAAGTGAAGGTGGTGTGTTTTCTAATTCCCGCCTTCATAGAAGGCTTGAAAACAATGAGTTTTGTAATAAACGGCTTACCACACTGCCTGGATCGAATATTAAAGTTCCGTGCATGCTGTTGGGAGATGAAGCCTATCCAGTGAAAACTTACTTGATGCGACCTTTTCCCGCATCACAACTTGGACCTGAACATACAATTTTCAATAAACGACTTTCACAAGCACGGCAAGTCATTGAATGCGCGTTTGGTATTATTTCCGCCAAGTGGAGAGTACTTCAAAAAGGAATTGAGGTTGAACCAAACTTTGTCGATGATATCGTTAAATGTGTATGTTTGTTGCACAATATTATAATTGACAAAGAAGGCGAACCACAACCTATGTCAATACCTCAACAATCAGAAACCAGTACTACAAGAGCCAGATTTGCTTCCCTAGGCGAAAATAGGAGCGTCACTACCGCTTATGTGATCAGAGACAAATTCGCAGCATATTTTTGTGAACATCAAGCAAATACCTAAAAAAACTTGTGTCTGAAGTAAAAGCTTTGCACTGACGGTCTGTTTTTGCCTGAATATCTCTTATGTTTTGTTCACTTTGTAATATAATAATGATATTGAAAACAACACTTACCATTATTAGTAACACCTACTTCGTCTGCAACTTTCGACCACAATTTCCTCTGAACATCACGAGAATGATACCTTTTGTCTTTCATGTTCCACAACCGAGGCTTTTCACGAACGGCACTAATCAATTTTTCGTTATCAATTTCCATATCGAAAACTAAATATTACCTGCACAGAACACACGAACCCAAACGCAATGAATAATTTTATGGCGTCTTCGTCAGAGATAACCCTATGGTCTTCGTTTGCACATGCGATCACAAGCGACTAATCCCATTTTGGAGGGATCGGTCGCCAGTCGCTTGTGGTCGGCCGAGGTAGGTCGCTCAAGGTCGCTTACAGTGGATGTTGTTTACATAATTTGTCATTTTTTAGGATCAGTCGCTTGTATACGGGCGTATACGCGCTACCTTCGAGTCGCGCGACTACGCTTCCAATGGACGATCAGCCTAAATTTTATTTAAAAACGCATCAGTACCCCAAAAACTAGTTTAAAAAATGTGAGCTTCCTTATCTTCCAAACATTACAAATAAAAACATTCCAACCTCGCCTTTTTATGCGATCTAAAGAATTTTTTGCTATTGATTCTGGAGATTGTTCAATCTTAGCGTTGAGCGAGTCGGAAATATCATGTAAAAAGGGTGTCACGTAGGTTCACTTTGCAGTTCCCACGCGACGCTATCAGTTCATCCAAGGTCATGATAGGCACGAGCTGGTCCCTCTTAGAAAATTACGGGCATGTATATAGCTTAAACGGATCAAGTGGGTCAAATAGGTCTGAACAACTAGTCCCCAGTCCCCACGCATTTGGCAACGTTGCGATTTTCTCCTCTGTCCTACCGACCAAAAGCAGCGTCCAGCTCGACACACGTTTATCTTATTAGTTGCGCTCGTCGCGGATATTGAAAATTCTATGTGTGAAATATGTTTACTAGGTACGTAGAAGTACCGGGCTTAGAAACGTATGAATATACTAACGCCATCCCAGTCCCTATTTTTTCAGCATCAAGTTTTAGCGAATTTGATTTTTTACACAAACCTACAAAGTTTTTTATTATTGTTGTAGTGGTAACTTTGTGTCAAAATCTTATCAACATCTGAAAGTGTAATCTGGGTTCTCGCTTATTGAGGTAGGAAGTAAATGGAATGACGATGCCTCACATCCACAAGTTTCGAAAAGTTTGGAATTTTTAACCGAGCTGTGAAAGTTGAGCAGACTTCTGACATGACAGTATCAAGTGTTAATGTTTTTTGAAACACTAGCGAGATATTGAAATTTCTTCCAAGTCGCATAATTTATGTTTAAATGCGGTGGCTTATGATGTGCTATAATCTGAAAAAACATTGAAAACTCCCAAACACAATGCAATACTTGACCGTAAAATGTTATATTAAGATATCTACAAATTCTCGCAAATACCTTTCTGTGAAACAATTTCTGGGTGACACTGCCTGCAAACAAGGAAATACTTCCTGGATAAATATGGTTCTAATTATTACGACTGAAATGTATGCATGTCATATTATTAGCACGCAGATTTTTCTTTAATGTTCGAGCTGTTTCGTGATGTGTACTTAACTGTGTAAAAATACATCCAACTTGTGTGCTTAGACTTTGAAATTCATACATTGATATGCAAATACGGATGAGCCGATACCGATATGTCGCGGTTTGTATTTGATTTATTTGATTAAAATATGCGAATAAATCTATGGCAGTTTGTTATTTTAAAGGATGATTATGTTGAAACAACCGGCATCACTTCTATACATCTACTCGTATCTCCTTCACACATACATATGCAATGGGCCTCTGAGCGCGAATATTTGTGTAAGCAAAGACATGAGCTCTACAGCTTCGTCTCGCCACTTCATATACTAAGTGACATATAAATCCGAACACCTAGTTTAAATGGTTTTATTTTAATAAAATTTTGTATAAGTACTTAATGAAGCATAGTAAGTAAATGACAAACATTTCAAAATGATTGCACTGCTTTAAAGCTCTTTGACGTTTAATAATGTGTGGATGCACCCTGATGTGCTACGCATTCTCCAACGCGCCTAGGCATGCTTCTGATCAGGTGGTCAATGTCTTCCTGTGGTATCTCATTCCAGGCAACCACCAACTCCTCTCGAAGTGCTTCTAGAGTCTGAGGAGGACGTTGCAAATTGAGCAATCTTCTACCCATCATATCCCACACGTGCTCAATTGGGGATAAGTCGGGAAGTCTTGGTGGCCATGGTAACAATGTGACATCATTATGTTGAAAGAAGTCTATTGTGACTCTTGCAACATGTGGTCGGGCATTATCTTGTTGGAAAGTTGGATCTGCCAGGGTGTCAAGATAGGGTGAAAGATGGGGTTCTAGAACTTCGTGGATATAACGCTGCGCTTTCATGTTACCTCTGATGAAGATTAAAGGTGACCTGGAACCATAAGCTATAGCACCCCAAACCATAACTCCAACAGTGTGATGAACATGTCTTTCAACAAAAAACTGTGGATTCCTCCTTTCACCACGTCGCCTTCTAACCCTGGCACGACCATCGTGCATGCCTAAACAAAATCGAGACTCGTCACTAAAGACAATACTGTTCCATTCCTGATCCCAGAGTGACCGTTGTCTGCACCACTCCAGGCGATTACGTCGGTTTTCTCGAGTTAAAGGGGGGACCCAGTGTGGCCGGTATTGAAAACAAGCCAAAACTTCTCATTCGTCGGTAAACACTTCGCATGCCAATAGGTCTTCCGTGTTCTGCAAACCATTCATTTGCAATGGACCTGGTAGTGGAGAAACGGTCCCTTAAGGCCAATAATCCTAGGCGGCGATCTTCACGGTCTGTTGTTCTACGGCGGCGTCCAGTGCCTCTTGCTCTTTGCGTACGGCCTTCTCGAAGCCATGCCTGACAACACCTAACCACAGTGTCTACACTTCTTTGCACTCTAACTGCAATTGCCCGAAAAGAAAGTCCAGCTTCCCGAAGTCCCACTATACGGCCTCTATCAAACTCACTAAGTTGACGAAATCGTACAGGTCTCCGTACTCTAGGCATCGTAACCGATCGTAAAGGATGTCAAGAACCAAAATCCGCCAACGTTGATTCTTTACTGCGGCTGAAATATTCATTTTTAGAGCGTTAGTGAATTAAAAAAAAAAGCAGTATAGGAACCGGAATGTCCAACTGATAAGGCTGAAAATTTTTTCACTTATTATTTACAGTAAGATAAATACATTCACCAACTTTTATTAAAATAAAACCATTTAAACTGGGTGTTCGGATTTATATGTCACTTAGTACATTTTGGGTTTAACTTTTATTGATCGTAATATCAAACATAGCAGTATCTGTAAATACAGCTATCAAACAAAGGAGGTGGGCTGATAAGAGCCATTTTTCGCCCATCTGCGAATAGATATGACATACATATATATATTTATGAAGAGTATACTCCATAACAAAGAAGGAAACATACTTATTTCTAATGAAAACTGATACACATAAATTAAATAACTATCTGAGTGTTATATATGTTATTAAACAAAAATAAAAGATAATCAGTTTTCATACACTTAGGGTGGATTTCACCAACATTAATATTCAACGGTCCCTTGGACCAATAGAAAAAGACCTTATCCAAATGCAATTTGACAGAAGCTGCCAAAGCTCTCTGAATATCAGTGATTTCCATTGAAATGTTGAATAAAGTCGAGAAAAAACGGTTGCCTTATAAATAAGGGTACACATTGTAGATGTAATATTATGTCTTTGTCCTTTAGAATTAGACTAACTTTCATAGAATTTCAAATTTTTATCATTTCAGAAAAGACGGTCAGTTATTTAAGTGGGACTAATGGGAATGCGGCAAATACGTAATAGGTCGATTTTCTAGGGATCATATTTGGTAGGATGTTTTCACTTTTCTTGACGACTGTTCATGCATGGCAATCTAGTTTTGTCTGTATATCACATACAGGGTGTTGTACATAATACGTACCTGTAGAAACGTACCGATTTTTGTTATTTTATAAAAAAAGGATATAAAACGTATTCCAACTGGTTCATCATCTTTTGTTACATCAATAACAACGCAACGCACACAACATGTTTTTTGAGGGCATATTTCTATATTATAACTTCTACAATGTGCATACTGGTCGCTCTTTCAAAGTACTTTGCAAACCATTCTGGAAACTCCTTTTTCGATTTTTGCTTATGGGATTGAGACTAATTTTCTGTTTTACCCCTGAACTCATGAACTCACCTCTCGTTTTAATTAAATATTTATTTTGAAAACCGACAGGTTTCGGTTTCTTTATTGCTTGTCCGGTGATGAGGTAATGATGGTAATTTTTTTTTTTTTTTTGGTGAGGGGGGAATGCATTTACGCACCATACCATAGCCCGAACTACGGCGTGTGTGGGACTCCAGGGTCTTGAGGAGATCACCTAATACCCACTAAACCCTAAACCTCCGCGTGGCCTGACTCATCAGCGTCTCGGTAGGCCATGTCTTGTGCGTGACCTGCGGTCTGCTACAACGTCTCCTACGATGGTGGTGATGGTAATCTACGAGTCTGTACCTTTTGTATGCACAAAAATCAATTCAGGGTAAGCGGAGTAAACGATGAGGATGTGCGTTCGTAATCATAGGCAACCCAAATCTACGCCTCCCATGTGCCCGTCTGCCTGAGTGTGTATGCATATGTATGACTGATATGTGGCATAAAACTAACTTTAACTTTATTTTTGGTTTTAGATCTTTTTCGGCAAGTATATGAATATTTAAAGTATTTTGAAAAATCGTGGAGAATGATGTTATCGGTAGATATTCTCTTTTCGGTAAAAATACCGAAAAATCCGGTTCAAGTCCATGCGTAGACAATCTGAAATTTGCAATATGAATTTATATTCTAAATTCTGTGCTTATTCGTTCATTTTCGTCAATATTTCATTTAAAGCTTTTATTTGTCATAAGATTTTAGCAAAATGTAAGATAGTAAAGGCAACACCGCACCCTGCAGTCTAGTTGACAAGCTTTCAAGATTAGGGATGTTAAGATCCACGAAAAGTATCGTTATGTATCGATTCTTGTCGTTTTAGGAAGTATCGATACTCTAAAATATTTAAATAAAATTATCGATATTCAGCGGAAGGAATCAAAGAAAAAAAGTAATCTGAAGTTAGTCACCCTTTCTGACCCAGTCCGGATCGAAAGATGACGATACTCGTGAAATGTATCGATGCACCCAAGTGTCGTATATAAAAATATCGATCCGAAATATTGGGTATGGGACGAAGCAGCTATTTTGAGGCGTCATGGAAATGATTTTAAATTTTCATTTGCATTTTTTCAAGTGTTGTGCAACGATTTTGGGAAAAATTCCACGAATAGTCTTATAAAGCATAGTAGAGTATATTTCAACAGTTGGCGGAACTTACTCCACTGGGACCAGGAGGGTGAAACGGGATATTAATGCACAACCTGGCAACCCTGTCGCACCCTCACATAATGGCCGCTGATAACCACACAAGTCACGTGTTGTCATTGAATAGCCAGGAATTACACCTTCAGACTATAATATGTTTTGTGTCTGGTACCAAGAGTTGACAAATGCCACACATGTGTCACTCCTTGAAATGCAATAATCAGCTGTATTCAAATAATGTCTAATATAAATATAACCTAGAATGTGTACTCGTGAAAAAAGAAAAATATGGCAAATTTGTAGTTTTTTTTGCAGGTTTTAGGTTTGATGGTAGCTTTAAGGCGTATATTTGGGAATTTATTAATCGCTGTGAATATAGTGTGGATGTTTGTTCCGTTCCTGAACAACGAAAAATATTCAACGTTATGGATGCATGACCAGGGGGGTGAAACGGGATATTAATGCACAATCTGGCAACCATGTCGCACCCTCAAAAAATGGCCGCTGACAACCACACAACTCACCGTGTTGTCATTGAATAGCATGAAATGAAACCTTCTTCAGTGTGTACGTTTTGTGATTGGCACCAAGGGTTGACGGATCCCACACATGTGTCACTCGTTGTGGAGCTTTGGAATAATCAGCTGTTCTTCAAATAATGTCTAATTATATAGCCTAGAATGTGTACTCGTGAAAAAAGAAAAATATTGCAAATTTCTAGTTTTTTGCAGGTTTTAGGTTTGCTGGTGGCTTACGACATACATATATTTGGGTATTTCTTAATCACTGTAAATATAGTGTGGATGTTTGTACAGTTCCTGAACAACAAAAATATTCAACTTTATGGATGTATGGATGTCAAAAAACCTGAATGGTTTTGTGGGAATGTCAATCTAAGGTGCCATAATGGTTCTGATGAACGGCAAGTAAATGAATGAATGCTAGGAAAACGAGCAATATCAATGAAATTTTTGGTAGAATCAGCCATCAAGTAGGTGTTGAATGGCTATCTGCAAGAGGTTTATAGGAAAACAACACGCGGTAGGTGATGTTGAATCAGTAAAATCGCATATCAATTGAAGAAAATAATATAAACATGAATAAACAATCGACAATATTAAATATGAATTTTATTCAAAAATCGAATACTTTTTCAAATTTTTGACTAAATTATATGTAATTTCTTAATACTCAATAAGCTGGTGATGTTTCAATGACAAGCTGTCATCTCATACTTTGACAGTATTTTGTTTTCAACATTTCATAGCTATTGGTTGCTAAAATTTCTTGATTGGAACTTGAAGCTCATTCGCTGTATTTGACGGACTGTTACCCTAAAGGTGGAGAAGACCGGACTGTTAATTTGACAACCTTGGTGAACTCCACCCTTAATATATTTTTTACTAATCTCCTTCTTGTCTTCTTCATTCGAATCACTATCAGACCATCCTTCAGTATCATCAGCGGTACTTGTTGAAGTAGGAACTCTTGTTGTCCTTACAGAAGATGAAGTGGGAATCTTTTGAGATTGAGCCACGCGGAATGCATATGATCTGCATTTAGGACACAACTTGAACCAATCTGCAGTTTTTAGATTTTCTAAGTATTGCTATAATGTTTTTGTTCGAGCAGCTACGGAAATCTGTTTGTTTGTCGCCAGGTTTTACAACAATCATACTGGCATCCAGGCATTATTGTTTTATCAAGTTTTTCAATAAATCTTGAACGCGACAGCACAGCACAGTTTCTATATCTTTACTACGTAAATACTCGTACTTTTCGAGCGCGAAAAATCATGTCTGAACACGCAGCGATTGCAGCGTGACTCACACTCTCCCGCAGCATATATGTATTACGTATTTTTGGATTGATGCGCTCACTGAACCAAAACAAATATATATTCATATACAAGCCTATAATAAGTAAACTCACTGAGCATTAAAGTTAATGAGGTTCATGGAACGCTTCGTAGGGAAAACATGATTCAAAGATCGAAAAACAACAAAAATGCACAAAAACCGCTAAGTACTCTATTTCTTGGCAATAACTTATGAAGCATATTACATTATTTATACCGTAAATATTATATAATGAAAAAATACACGTCTTGAAGTTCACAAATAAATTCAATAATAGTCTGAAATCGAACTTTTTATTTTTGGGTGTTTTATGGGCGAAAAATGGCCCTTACCAACCCACCTCCTTTATTGGAGTATTTTGAGAATGTGAACGAAAGCAATGGTCCCTTTTTGCAGACATTTTATAACGGCATATGGCTTAGCGGAATCCATTTCTCTTAAGATCCTTGTCACACTTGAAGCAACAAGTAAATTTTGTTTTAAAAATTCAAACCTGACTGCAGTAATTGAAAAGTAAGAAGACTTGTGCTATCAAGAGAAATATACAGACACCTTGTATTAAAATCCGCCATTTTTTTTAATTTTAATATGGCCAGTGTTACTGCCACAGTTAGAGCGAGTCCAACTGTACCCTATACGACAAAAATTAAGCCAGTTGAGCTGAAGATCGTGAAATATGAAGTTCAAGGTTGAATTTTCTTATAAGAATATAAAATACTGTGAATGGGGATTAAACATCAATGTTACTAAAACAGAATATCTCGTTATTGGAGACAAGCCTGCTGATCAAGTGGACAATGTAGTTATAAGACAAACCCAGGAGTTCAAATATTTGGGAACCTATATAACATCTGACGGTTCAACAAAAAAAGATATACAAAGTAAGATTGTTCAGGGTAAAATGGCAATCCAGGGATTGAATTCCATTTTATGGTCTTCCAAACTTAGCATTAACATGAAAGTTCAAGTTTATCACAGTATCGTGGAGCCAATAACTACTTATGGGGCTGAGTGCTGGCAGCTTACATCAAAAATAGAAAACCAGCTAAAAGCCGCTGAAATGGACTTCCTACGCCGGTCGTCTAGAGTATCTAAGTTGGACTATATCCGAAACGATATGATCAGAGAAAGGGTGTACAAGATACCATTGTGGATATAGTGGAAAGAAGACAACTGGTATGGTACGGCCATGTCATGAGGATAGCTGATGAAAGATGGCCAAGGAAGATGGTATCATATATCCCAGCCAACAGAAGGAAGAGAGGTAGGCCAAAAACATCGTGGTGGAAAGGGATAGAAGAAGCCATGAGGAAAAGGGAAATGAACGAAGGAGATTGGGAAAACAGAAGAGAATGGCGATTGAAGTGCGAGAAGCGGTAGCAGTCGTAGGACCCTCGCTACATATATATACAGGGTGACTTCGAAGTTGAGTCATTTATTTTAACAGTGAGTAGATCTGATCAAAAGAAATGTTTTTTTCCTTTAACATTTTTCTGGTAAAATTAAAGTAACAAAGTTATAGCCCTTTAGAAGTTTGAGTACCGCCCTGTCTCAATAACAATATTATGTGCTCGTGTTTGGCAACAACGGATATAATCCGCCTTATCGGTTCATCGCATCGGAAACAAAAAAGCGAAAGAATTTGAAACGATGTTTTTACTACAATTGTATTCAGTTGTATTCTGTCAATGTGTCAGTCGGTAACGCGGGAGTGAATAGTGGTGTTTGTTGCGTGGCTCAAACGAAATAAAAAATGGCACATGTTTACGAAAATGCTGAACTTGTGGACATGATTCTTATTTACGCGGCATCACGGATTTATGCGGATCGGTTTCCCAATCGAGTGCAACCAACCCCTCGTGCCTTTGTTAATGTAGTGGAAAGGGCTCGTGAATCAGGTGACTTAAGACCTCACTTTGGAGGGCATGCCGGTGCCCCAAGACCGCACGATCAAATACAGGTCCGCACTGAAATACTTGTCGGGAGGATACTTTATAAAACAAGGTAACATTTTTTTTTTATTTTTTTTTATTTTTACACACATATTTTGGTTTATCTTCCTTCTACAATCATTATCTGAAAATTAATGACTCAACTTCAAAGTCATGATTTTGTTTTCCAAAATTTCAGTATACTTGTTGTTACTAGTATTATCAAGACAAATCTACAGGCACCTCATTTGTCAAAGTCGATTAAGCCATTTAAGCTGTAGCCCGTGGAATAAGAAATTGAAGCTTGAACTTTTTTATTAAAATCCGCTATTTTGTTTTTATAAAACTCTAATATGATCAGTTCCACTCATACTGCTAACACAACACCTTTTATCAACGTTGAACTTATTCATCAAAATCCGCCATTTCGTTTTTATGAAATCTTTATATAGCCAATGTCATTATAATTCACATCTCAAGTGTTAAAAACGTAATCTGCTAACATCACTTGTATCACTGTTAACATCATCCGCCAACCAAAGACCTGCACAATACTCAGGCGCGGGGTATAGGGGTCACCCATCGTAAATGTGTGCCGGGCGTATCTTATGTTTGTCTGACCTGGCGAGTTGTAAACGAAAACAATTAGCTTTCAAACAATAAGACAGATATTTTACTGTATGCAATTCTCACAGACTTCAAATCGGTTATTACGGGACATGTACTAGTTCATCTGAGGGTCCAAGGGCGTACCCAGTGGGGGGGGGGGGTGGTCAAGGGCAGCTGACCCCTTTTTTTACAAATACTTAATTGAGAAATTACTAGGATTAGTTGAAATCTATGTTAGATATATACTTAATTTTCAAATTCAAACCTCTCCTTTGGGATTATCTCGGAAACGGTAAAGCGAATGTCACTCGATCAGTATTTACTGTGGTCCGTATCATCAGTGGATTTCCGCGTAACATTCAGCATCAATAATTACTGACGATCAGGCTACTAGACTCTCAACGCAACAAGTTCCAAGCTCTACTAGTCTACGCCAATGTATTGGGCCTGGAAGCGATATGAAATATCATGCGCGTTCCTAACTCGCAGCATGTTTGTTGATTTTGACTGGTTTTAATGTTTTATCACGAGTAGACGAGCTTATCAGTGGGAAAATTACAATACGCTATGATTTTTAAAGCCACAAAATCATCTTGGATTGCAAAAAGTCGTAAAATATAAAATATTAATGCAAATGAGATATTTACCAAAAATGCAAACTTCTTACTAGAATAAATCCACGGCTTCGCCCGCATGATAGTCGATAGCGTTACAGGGAAACAGGATGCCGCGCGGCATCAGCTATTCGTTAATTGTTCAACAGCTGAATCGTAGTGCAAAATCCTCATTAAGTTAGCAAATAAAGCCGACTACAATTATTTCGGGATAATAACTTGACAAATTTTCAGGGGATTTCGTGTCTCTTGGCGAACGGCAGGGGTATCATGTAAAAAACCTACAAAACGTCAAAAAAAAACCTATAAGTTGTCAACTTGCATACTGGGTAGTTTTTAGGGCGCAAACAGTCATTCTACGTTTGCTCACTAGGATCGTTGTGCACGTCCATCTATTGAGGAATCGCTCAACTAAACTACACGCATTATTGGTTGCATAGTTTTGTGAGGCTGAGTGATCCGGGTCTGTAGTTTTTATCTCTGAGAAGAAGGTTAGTTGGATAACAAGATCGCATCTGGATGATTATGTGTATTGGTCTGCATGTGTATAAAATCAGTGATATACTAAATGACATATAAATCCGAACACCCAGTTTAAATGTTTTTATTTTAATAAAATTTTGTATAAGTACTTAATGAAGCATAATAAGTAAATGATAAAAAACTGTGGATTCCTCCTTTCACCACGTCGCCTTCTAACCCTGGCACGACCATCGTGCATGCCTAAACAAAATCGAGACTCGTCACTAAAGACAATACTGTTCCATTCCTGATCCCAGAGTGACCGTTGTCTGCACCACTCAAGGCGATTACGTCGGTGTTCTCGAGTAAAAAGGGAGGACCCAGTGTGTCCGGTACGAAAACAAGCCAAAACTTCTCATTCGTCGGTAAACACTTCGCATGCCAATAGGTCTTCCGTGTTCTGCAAACCATTCATTTGCAATGAACCTGGTAGTGGAGAAACGGTCCCTTAAGGCCAATAATCTTAGGCGGCGATCTTCACGGTCTGTTGTTCTACGGCGGCGTCCAGTGCCCCTTGCTCTTTGCGTACGGCCTTCTCGAAGCCATGCCTGACAACACCTAACCACAGTGTCTACACTTCTTTGCACTCTAACTGCAATTGCCCGAAAAGAAAGTCCAGCTTCCCGAAGTCCCACTATACGGCCCGGCCCCTATCAAACTCACTAAGTTGACGAAATCGTACAGGTCTCCGTACTCTAGGCATCGTAACCGATCGTAAAGGATGTCAAGAACCAAAATCCGCCAACGTTGATTCTTTACTGCGGCTGAAATATTCATTTTTAGAGCGTTAGTGAATTAAAAAAAAAGCAGTATAAAAACCGGAATGTCCAACTGATAAGGCTGAAAATTTTTTCACTTGTTATTTACAGTAAGATAAATACATTCACCAACTTGTATTAAAATGAAACCATTTAAACTGGGTGTTCGGATTTATATGTCACTTAGTATATTTACTGTGTGAGAAATTCATTACTGAATATGCCGAATATGACGGGTTATTTATATATTGTGCTTTCTGAAGAGAGGTTATGTTCAAAGTTATAATTTACGAAAAACTGAGGAGAATTACGGAAAATCATCACCGCGCCCGCGTTGTGTGTAATTACTGTTAGCATGTATATGGCTTGTAATTCGACAGTGTACAGTGAATATAATTATTTCTTATCTCTCTCATTTTTGAAATTCAGCAAATTTGTATATGTAATTTCCAGAATGGATAAGAAAAAGTGGATGCGCAACTAATTTCTAGCTTTGAATCTCAATTAAGTGTATTTGAGACAAGAACCCAATGTAATTATCATCAACACATACAACTTGCAGCTTAGACCTCCAGTAATGCCATCTCGGAAGCAGATTTTACATCACATCACAGCCAAAGATAGAGAAAAAGCCTCATGACGTTTAGGCAACACGTACAGCTAAGTGCTAAGTTAACATTTTTTTTTCTTGACGATTGCTTTATCGTAACAGGGCCGATTGACAAGAACTATAAATATTTGTCTGTATGTAATTGAGGGCCAAGGATTACCCGATGAGTGCCATAAATAATGTATGTATATGTTATATCTGAAAATTATTCTTCCCTTTGAAGTTTTTTCGCGATTACAGAACTTCCCTGGACTATTGATTTGACTGAAAAAATGAACGCCTTAATTAAACTTTGAGGCATATCTACGCCAAAAAAATAGAATACATTTGCAATATACAGTGCAACCCGCTTATAATGGACTCGGCGGGACTGTGACAAATCGTCTATTATAGGCGGATGGCCATCTTAAAATAAACACTTTTTTATAAAAAAAGCAGCAGAAATAACATATTAAAAGCTTAAAATGTGTTTGTTTAACATGTATCACATAAATAAATATACATACACGCAGTCCAATGCCTCCTTAGTTGTCACTGGAAGCTCCTCTTCATCGTTGTTTTCTAGTTCGTCTTCCTGTTCGTTATCAACGGATCCTTCATTAACCAAATTGGAGTCTGACAATTCCTGTGTTGCTATGAAATTATTGTCAACATTTACATACTCATTGAATTTGTCTATATTCAGTAAACTGTTAATTTCCAGTAAATCACCTAATGGAATTTCATCTTCTGGATTGAAATCGTTGACTTTTTCAGTTATGTTTTTCACTAAACCAACATGGCAAAAACAATTACGAATCGTTTCCGGAGTAACCAATTCCCCAAGCAAATTTATAGCATCTAAAATGGTAACAGCTTTGGTAATGTTGATATAATAATAATAATGACTTTATTCAGAAGATGATCATAGTATGGCGAAGTTTAGCCATGGCTTCTCTACCACTCAACCATACTACAACCAGATATCACAAAACATTAGCATAACAACATGAATCAGTAGCTGTAAGGAATGCATTAAAAACGAGTAAATATATAATATGAACATATACAAAGAAAAGAAACAAAAGAACAAGAAATCGTTCAGCAAAATGAATTTATCACTCAATGTGCTGAGT